ACCACTTCATGATGGCTCGCGTCAAGAACACCGGGGCAATCTCAGAGGTATTCGGGGTGAAAAATGTGATGAAACAGGGCTGCGTACTTGCCCCCATCCAATTTTCCCTCATCAAATTCTCCGTCCTGCTAGCGAATGCCCATCGTTAGCACCGGAAGGGGATTGGCATCAAATGCCGAACCGATGAAGAGCTACTCAACATTCGACCACTAAAAACATCTTCGGCGGTGTCACGAGCGGTTGTTTGCCGGTGACTGTGTGTCAAACACCATGACAGAAGAGGACATGCATCGGAATGTGGACCTCTTCACTTCCTGATACTTCAACATCTGCCTGACCATCAGCAATGTGAAGGTAGTGGTCCTGAAACAACTGGCGCCAGATGTTCCTCACACCGAACCCCATGTCAGCGTCAGTGAAATTCCCCTCATGGCAGTGGAGAAATCTGCATACCTTGAAAGGATGATTTTAAGAAACCTCACGCGATCTCAGTGGGTCAAAACAGCCACTTTCGTAGCCGGCTGACTAGCCTCTGTCAAGGCAAAAAAGAGATGACCGCGAGACTCAAGTGCAACGGATCGTCTACTTGATCACCTAACGGTCTATATTGTCAACAAACTTTCTAGGCACGGATTTGCCCAATTGGGCATTCGCAAATCCCTCTCTCATTTTGCAAAACACCTCGCCCAACATCCTCAGTGAAGACACTCTTGAATCGTCCGTTAGTCTGTTTGGCTACTTACGGATTCATTGTACTGAAACCGACGAACTAGTAGATGGAGCCTCGAAATACACCCATCACTCGCGCCTTACCTCACAATACTACCCCAAGGTCACTCGGCTATCACATGGACCTATTCTTTCATATGCACATCCGCTTAAATTCCCACTAAAATAACACGGTCCAGTCCTCATAACAGCTTCTCGCTCCACCTGCCCACGCACACACATCCCTATAGGCTACATATGAGCCTACTCCACAATACACGCATACACGACACCTCGAGATATAAGCAAAAGAACAAGGTCGGGGAAGAAGTTGAGAAGAAGGGAAGACAACAGGTGGAGCGAGAAATTTGTTTGCCTGACGCGTCGAGCTCACTCCCCAACCCATCACCAGAGACCGCAACCGATAAAGGTAGGGTGCGCACATAGGATGCTGTGGCAATGCAACCATCTACCTATTAGGCGCAATTTCACCGGTCGAGAAACTCATGTTGATAGTCCTAGAGGTGACCTTGATCAATTTCACGGCCTTCTGAGCGTGCTCAAAGATGACGATCCGCTTTAAGACGCTACAAAAAATGCTAACAAAATGACGGTTTTGACATCTCGGATTATTGATCGCTGATTCAGACTCCACAATCACTTCGTCAACACAATTATTGAAGAAATTTAAAGGAGAATATCTCCTGCCAAAGGATGTCACGGTAGCTGTAAATGCAACTGTCATACAATGGGGCGGAATTTCACCTAGGACATGCCAAAATCCTCGAATTCCTGCTTCAGGCTTGACGAACCATCTTTGAGCGGGCAGAAGTTATGCCAGCGGATTTCAAGGCTCTTAGCCGAGACGGTCCTGCAGCGCTTGCTCTTCTAATGCCACAGACTGAAATTCTGGACTTGGTATATGGGTAATCTCTTCGTCCTCGCTGAACATGATTAAGCGCTGACTTTCAAAGTGCAACTTAATGCTGTCTTCCTGAAGGAGGGAACAATCAGCCGAGTTTCCCCGATGTCTTTTTCGGCCGTAAAGATTGTCGTGACCTGAAAACCAAAGTGTTCATGGGGACGACAAATACAGCGCAAGTACTGGACTTCGCCCGTAACAACCCAATTAGTCAGGGGGTTATACCGGTATCATGAGGGGGAGCGTAGTGAAAACGAAGGCAAGGTTATAGAATCACAATATCTTCGAGGGGTGCTTGGAGCGAATAGCTACCTGCTCAAGTGCGCAAGCGATATGAGAAACCAAATCACACCGACCCCAAATTTGGTAAGCGCTTCACCATGCTAGGAACATCTTAGTAGCCGTCAGACGCTCTTTCGCATCACTTGACGCAGGGTTACACAAAAACTAGAGTCAAACGGTCAAAAGACCCGCTGCCATAGCAGGAGATGGCTGGGGTCGTTTAGCGCATTTGCCGATGTTCTAGATAAAGCAATTACGTCCCAGAAAATAGGAGACTGCGTCTGACGCGGGGGCCGAATGCGCAGCAGTGAGGTAAAATGAGGCTAATTCTTGAGTCGCTCCTCCAGGCTCGATGATGCTAAAATTCTCACGAGTGACAACAACTGCGTGAGTCGGGCGCTACCTAAGTTACGTTGCTCCTGACCTTTGTCGGTTAAAAAGCACAGTGACTTTCATTCTCCATATTCAGTGCCAAGACGGTCTGGAAAGGGTACGTGGCCATTTGGGGAGCCCATGAGCAAAAGGCACTCCCACTGACAGTATCGGCGAGCCAAATGGCTGAGTTAGTACCACGCCAATAATAAACATTGCGGCGTAAATTGCGGTAGTTTAAATTTCGGAAGCAGAGGACCGAATGATCATCATATCAGAGCAAATCCGCAGCGGCGACCAATGAGACAGCTGGAAATTATGATGGTGGTTCGATCGTCTATTATGACGATGTGTTCCACAACAAGATAAGATCAGGAACAGTGAATTGCACGTGATTTCTTCGATAGTGATAGTAAACTTGCGATGCGCTTACCGTGCTCACCCTATCCTTTTATGCCATGTGTCAAGGCAGAGCCAAAAAGACAGGAAAGGGTGCAAGTGGCTGGCGCGGCGTGAGCCTGCCACTTGGCGTTCAGTCATATGCTTCGTGGACCTGACGAAAGCCTTCGACACGGTGAATCGTGAAGGACTGTGGAAGATAATGCAGAGATTCGGCTGCCCGAATGATTCATCCAGATGGTGCGTCAACTCCACGACGGCATGATGGGACGCGTCGCGGACAACGGAGCTGTCTCAAAGGCATTTGTAGTGACCAACGGAGTGAAGCAGGGATGCGTCCTGTTGCCCAACCTCTTCAGTCTCATTTTCTCTACCATAGTGATGGACGCCTACCATGATGAACGCCTCGGGATCCGCATCGACTACAGGACGGGCGGCCACCTCCTCAATCAACGGCGAATGCACTTCCAATAGCGCGTATAAACAACCACCGTTCACGAACTTCTCTTCGCTGACGACTGCGCTCTGAACACCACCTTCGAAGAGGACATGCAACAGAGATTGAACCTCTTTTCCGTCGCCTGCGAGAACTTCGGTCTGATCATAAACAGGAAGAAGATGGTGGTCATGCATCAACCGCCACCCAACGCAACCCCGCTCTCCAACGCGCCACAGATCAGCATGAACGGAACCCAACAGCAAGTGGTGGACAGCTTCCCGTATCTGGGCAGTACCCTCTCCCGCAGCACCAAAATCGACGACGAAGTCGCCCGCAGAATTTCAAAAGCCAGTCAAACCTTCAGTCGCCCTCAAAGCACAGTTTTAAATCGTCATGGTCTCCAGCTCAGCACGAAGCTGAAGGTGTACAAGGCCGTCATCCTGCCGACGCTGCTGTACGGAGCGGAGACTTGGACAGTGTACACTAAGCAGGCACGCCGACTGAACCACTTCCACCTCAGTTTTCTTCGTCGCATCCTGAGGCTGAGCTGACAGGATTGAATTCCCGACATTTATGTACTGGAGCGAACGGGAATCCTCAGCTGCTGAGGCAACTGCAGCTGCCTTGGAGCGGCCACCTGGTGCGCATGCACGACGAGCGACTACCCAAAGGACTCATCTACGAGACATCGCCACGTGTTCCCGTCGCCAAGGAGGCCAAATCCGCCGATACAAGAATACTCTGAAGTCCGCCCTGAAGCCGCAGCAAATCAATCCGCCCAACTGGGAAGACCTCGCCCGTGACCGACCGACCGACCTGGAGAAGGACGGTGATGACTGGAGCTGCCATCCATGAGACCAACCGCATAGACGCCGCCAAAGTCAAGCGAGAAGCACGCAAATCACAACTTCGCCCAGTACGCAACGCGACGCACAACCGTCTCCAACAGGTCCTCGATGTCAACGGACATTCCGGGCACGAATTGGACTTGTTGGACTGCACCACCTGGACCACACCAACCGTCGTCCCTCCGTCCAACTCGTCCTCCAGGCCGCCAACTAACTCTGACTGCTCTTCTGAACTGCCACTTCCATCCTCCTCCTCCTCCTCCACTGCTCCGAGGCCTGCCGTCGTGGCTTCCGGCGCGCACATCAACACTGCACGCAATCCTGATCCATCCTCAGCCGTCAACACCACCACCGTCGACAGCAGAGTTGAGGATCAAAATTACACCTGCCCTCACTTTGATCGCATTTGCACCTCACACATCGGCCTGGTCAGTCACTTGCAAATCCATCGCACAGAGACTGGCGAACCAGTGTCTGGAGCACCAACCTACACCAGCTGCACCTACCTCAACTGTCCACACTGTCCTCGCACTTTCACGCATCGCATGGGCCTATTCGGCCCCATGTGCATCCACGAGAGAGGAATTGACCGCAACATCGACACACCCACCCCGCCGAGCCCCACTCCCAATTCATCACCTTGCGCACCCACCACCCACTCCCCAACCGACATCGACGCCACCGACTCTACCACCCCTCACTCGTCCCCGTCCTCCTCCTCTTCCTCCTTCACTGCCACAACGACGACCACTCCGGCGTCTGTAGCGCACGACTTCACCACAGTCGCACCTGACACAACAACAGGCACAACCCGTGCTACCTCCATCATCAGAGGTGAGGGCCAGGACTACAGCTACCCTCACTGCGATCGCACCTTCACTTCCCGCATCGGCCTGGTCGGTCACTTTCGAATCCATCGCACAGAGTCTGGCGAACCAGTGCCTGGCGCACCAACCTACACCCACCAAGCTCGTCTCCACTGCCCACACTGCTCTCGCACCTTCATGCATCGTATGGGTCTATTCGGCCACATGCGCATCCACGAACACCTGCGGTAGACAACCGTCAGCTGCACCACACCACCACACACTCCCTCACCACCACCTCATCGCACATCAACATCACCAATCATAAGCCCCCACTTGCCAGTGGGAAGTGTGCGTCTCGACTCGGTCTCCGTGCGGCCCCTGTTGCATGGGCGGCTCGAGCCTGAGATTATCCCGCCGCGTCATGCGTCGAAGATAAGAAGGCGGCTGTTTGACACCCCAACTCAGTCCACGCAGTTCGTCCAGTTGTGCATGTTTGTGTGGAGTAGCGGGCTGGTGGATTGAGGGCCGGGCCGAAACAGCTTCTTCCACAGCACTCTCACGTAATTGTGAGATACGCCGCTCAACAGCCGTTGTGTGAAATCCTGGTGCTTTTGTTTGAGGGACCAGGTCGTGTATGTGGCGCGCGCAGACAGGGCCAATAGACCGCGTCAGCCACCGCGCCCATTCTCCGCTGAAGTCAACTGACCTGTTCGGACTGTGACTAAGATGCAGGAGTGGGAAGGGAGAGTGAAGTCCACGACTCAGCGCATTTTCCTCCTCACTATAAACAATCTGACTCGTTTTAAGATATCACGGCGCGCTTAAAGCCGCGGCTTGGAAGGTTGCCAACTGACGAGATAACTTGGATCTCGCAGTAGACCCCGTGTTGTGTGTGCTGCAGTTGTGGATTGGCCGTCTTAGCGTCAGACTGCAGTGGCTCCTTCTTAGTGTGGCCTATGGCACTCGCACCACAGTGTGGGATCCGAGCCAGGCGTTGGCGGCACACCTAGGTGCAGCTTCAGCCGTGCCAGCTTCCAAATCTGTCTTGTGTTGGTTGAAATCCTGGTCATTTGTTGTGTGGACCAGGGGGTGTGGTGGAACGTCAAGGTGAGGATCCGTCCGAGCCATCCACCTGCGGCCTCCCTCGTCTCCGGTCTTCTTGACTCTGTCTTGACACCGGGCTAAGGCGGGGGAGGAGGAGAGAGTGTGGGTGGAGGCAGCGCAAGTCTACTGGCATTATAAGTCCCTGCGCAAGTCACCGTCCCTGCTCCCACCGCTGCAGCTGCAGCTGTGGGGCACACGGTGGACATCATCGAAATCGACGGTCGAACTGTCGTCGTGTGTGTGTGTGTGTGTGTTTTGAATCCACTGCGCCTGATTCCATTGCTATTTTCCTAACAAGGTAAGTCAGTCAACAGGCGCACGGGCGAGGTAATTGAGCGAGACTGCGAAATTCCTTCTCATGGCGTGTTACACCAGTCCGCAACATAGTACAATTTACACGCTTGAATTATGATCTCGGCTCTCCTCAAGACTGAATGTCCGACCGCAAAGGCCTTATGGCAATGCGACACTGGCATATGATCCAAACAGTCCCCACATGTGCATAGCACATGTAATTTACACCACATGTGTGGTGTGCCTAGGCGTGCTGCTTTTGTCTGTCAGCCATTGTGCCCACACCCACCGCCGGTCGTCTTGACTTTGTCTTGCCATCGGTCTCACGTAGATGAGAGTAAAGAGTGTGGCAGGTTTTGTTCACCACTGACTTATTCGCGCACAGTCTGCCGCTCCTCGACCCACCTCGTGGGGCAGCGGCGGAGATTGTCACCTGCAGCAGTTGGGCTGTCATGTGCGTGGGAAATACTGTCTCTGCCGGCTTCGCTGAGAGTTGCGGTTTCCATCGTTTTAGGTCAGATAAGCGCGCTTTCGGGTGTTCCCTTGCATGAACTCTTTTTTTGCTCTGCATGAAACACCTCAGCTCTTGGCGTTGCTGGCATTTGAGGGTTCTCGTCTTGTTGGGCGGGTAGTGAGGGGGGGGGGAATTTCGCTAACAGAAACTATGCGCCGCACCACGACAATTAAATCAAAAAAGGAATATCGCGAGACTCCTGCCACCACTAGGTGAAGCGTGCTGTATGGATTCTGTGGATTGACAGATCAAACCGTTAGAGGCCAAGCAACCTCCCATCATAACCGAACTTGGCGGTTTCATGCTTACCTGCACCGAAACTCATGCCACCCATGCTGAGTTGATAGCTGTTTTTGATGATCTGCCAAGACTGCCTGCTTTCTTTTGCGTTAGGATGAATCTTGGGAAGAAAGTACAGCTCTGAAATACGTAAAATCTGTCTATCTGAAGGGGTAAATTTGAGTGAAGCCACTGCAGCTCTATCTTGTCCACCAAACTGCCGATGTACCTACAATCTCACAAATTTTTTCCAGAGTACTCCGACTATTCTGGCGACGCGCGCCCACGTTGACCTTGTAAAAGGGCTTGACGACGGCTGCCTGGTTGGTCTATCGGTAGTTTGACCCCAACCTGCGTACGGCTCGCAATAGTCGAACTCACGTCAGTGCCATTTGTCAGCCGTTTATGCAGCTTGATTCGATAAAAGCAGTACTGTCAACAGGTTCTACACTTCCGGAGATTTGCTAACGTGGACGTATTGTGAGTGGCAGTTGTCTAACACCCCTCGGAAAATACTAGGTGCCTTAAGATATGACACCTACCAATTTCTTTCGCTTGAGTACCGGGCAACCCTCATTTCGATAGAGATAAGAACTATACATAACAGCCTTTTTAGGAAATGGCAGAGAGAAGCCTAATCTCTAGTGAATTGTGGTTTAGTGACAAGGGCGGGGATGACTGGAAGTGACCTTGAAACGTATTTTATAAGGCGCCGTCCAATTATATGCCAGTTGCAGCCTAGGAATCACTAAACATCTGAGATGGACGAGCTCTCTGGGAGTGAAACGACGCATAATGTTCTAAGACTGAGACGATACCCGCCTAGACGCGGTAGGTTGGTCGAATAAATTAAGTAAACAGCGCACCTTTATGACCGATCAGACCCCAAAGAAGAAGAAGAAGTCGCTTTATTTTGGAATCGTAAGTTCAAAATTTTCAGCAAAAAATGGCTCCATTCACTATGTGCAGTAAATAAGTTAACAGATTATTCAAGTGTCAAAGTTTAACTTAAAGAAACAATTATTATGAGGATGTTCAAGTCTTAGCTTCCGTATTTTCTTCTCTTCGCACGTAAGATAGCACGCTAGGAATGGCAATACAGAAGCTCGATGAGCCGATGTGCGACAGAATATAAGTCGGAAGCTACGGCGCATCGAGCGGGAAGACTTCGCAGACATAAGATCGGAATGTAAGGGATGGGCAACGCCATCTAGAATTCGACCAGCAAATTGCTTGACCGAATTGAAGTGTCGTTGTAAGATAGTGTCAACTAACCTTAATCCCTGACTCTAACACTAACCCGTGACCCTAACCCCAAATGTATTGTGTCCATCAGGTGGAACCACCTGAAGCTCGATTATGCTTGACACTGTCTCTGCAACTATCGCTCCATCTTCTCAAGGCTCTTCTTTCAACCTGTAACACGTGAGCAATCGAAATCCTGAACAGTCTTGTGCCTCATATGTGAGAGAAAGAGGAATTTGCTTTATTTTGAAATTGGCTCCATTCACTATGCGTAGTAAATAAGTTAATAGATTACTCAAAAGTCAACAAGTTTAACACAAAAGGGAGGATTATAATGCGGACAGTTCAAGTCTTCGCTTCTGTATTTCTATCTCTTCACACGTAAGATAGCGCCCCAGGAATGGCATTACAGAAGCTCGAAAAGCCGATGCGCGACAAAATATAAGTCGGAAGCTGCGGCGCATCGGGCGGTAAGACTTCGCAGAAAAAAGATCAGAATGCAAAGGATGGGCAACGTCATCTATAATCCGACCAGGAAACTGCTTGACCGTATTGAAATTTCGTTGTAGGATAGTGTCGACTAAAAAAGGATAAGAAACACCACCAGCAGCAGAGAGCATACGGAGGACTCGTTTCAAAATTAAAAGATCCTTTTTAAGCGAAGCAGGAAAATGACAGGAGAGCAGTATGGGATAAGAGGAAGAATGCAGGCATCGATGAATCGCCAGACTAAGGGTTGAGGTGTGTGGTAGGAACCTAAACGACGTATGCAATGAAGAAGTGTACGAACTCAATATAGACTCAATATAGAGGGAAAATGAAAGATATGAGGACAAAGTAACGCTGAGGTACCTGAAAGAGGATACTTCGTTAGGAAGAATGTCAGAGGATTCAGGATTAGGGGAGATTAGGCCACATCAGCGAGAAAGACAACATCCAGACTGAAAATAAGAGTTGAAATGATGACTTCAGGGGGTTCCTCAACACAGGGCATGTGTTAGCTACGTCATTTGACCTCGATAAGTATGGTACGAGTAATCGCATATGCTCTAGTGCGGAAGATTCTTTCAACAGTACATGTCGCGAGCCGAAGTTCACCAAAACTGTATTTTATTGAAATGAGATAAGGCACCTGGTCAAGCGTTTCTGCCAATAGAATCTGGCTTGCTCTTTGTTCAACACGGCCAAGCGATCGTAACGTCATGCGGCAGAAGCTATATCACAGGTTTGCCCCAACTAAAAACTTACGCTTCGATCGAGGATCTCATATGTGAAAAGGCCGAGTCGTAATGATGATTGGTACTAGTCGCAGAGCAATTTCCCGTCCCCATCCCCTGCGTACTACGAAGTCTTAATCCGGCTTTGGTCTATTCTCCTCAATCTTTTCTGATGATAGTTCACTTTACTCAGGCATTTCTGCGGTAACAATCGGGAGAGGGCACCCAAATATCCGTCGCCTAGAAATACTACCTGCTATACCTATTTGAGTAGGTTATTGCCCTACATATTTGTTGTTTCATCCAACCTCGATTTTATCTGAACTGCAGTCCCCATGCTGCCTCACTTAGATTATCATAGTCTCCAGCAGTTGAGATGCGACCGCTGCACACCGAGCCATGGTTAATCAACCTTGACCTAGGCTAACATGACTGAATAGTTACAGCAGTAGTGGGGTTGCGGCTAAATCTACTCTTGCATACCTTAGGAGAGTTGAAAAACGATCGCCGACGACCCACCCTACGTTAAACAAACTTAATATAAGCTTGCACTTCTGACAAGCGATCGCAATAGTCCCTATGCGGATTATTCTATA